AGTCATGGATATCTTGAGTTTATTGAACCTGATAACAAGCCCACACGTTGATTATCTGCCACTGTAGCTCTGTGCAGCTGTAGCTTGGTCTAATGACACATTAGAACTAAAATAATGAGGACTAAAAGCTGTATTCTGGAGTAATTTCTCTGCATGGTTCATGCTTTTTGTGTGTGTGCCACCACACGCCTCTGCTTTCATGATTCTTACTGTGTGTTTTCATTCCCACTGCCCACTGGTGTTACAGGAATAATCAGCCCATTTAAATCTTTCAAACACTCCCCTTCTGTCCTGCAGAGATCCCCCTGTTTCATGTGTTGAATGCCAGAGTGACGTTCAGTAACCTGTGTGGCTGCGACGAGCCGGTTAGCTCTGTGACGGTTCACACACCAGAGGGCTCCGAAGAAGCTGGTAAATACACACAAACTCAATTAAAGAACATTAAGTACCTGACACTATATTTCAGTGACAAAGAATTCAAATATGAGCTGATTCTGAAACCGAAACTTTTGGAGTTGAACAAGAGTGAGTAGAGGATCTGTCATCTGAACATGGTAATCGCCTCTGTTTTTAAATCAGTTTGTTTGTTTGTCAGTTGGATTATGGAAAAGAGATTTTCATGAAACCTAGTTGAAGGGTGTAACATTGGCCAAGGAAGAACATACTGATTCATCAGTTAGGAACTGACGTTACACTCCAGGGAATGTAACGTCAGTTCCTAACTGATTCATCAGTTAGGAACTGACGTTACATTCCCTGGAGTTTCAAAACAAAGTGACAAAACAGCCATTTGTAGAAATACGATGACTCCCTATCACAATCCACATTCACGTGTTACAGTAATCCTCTGTGAGGTAACACTGCCACAACTGTAGCAATGCCTTTTTTGTCAAACTAAGGTGCGGCCATGGCATTCTTACTCACATTGAAATGTGAACTGTCTGCAATAAACTCCACCAGAAATATTAATTTAAATTTGACTTGATGCTGATTTGAGACTTGAGGACAACAGAGCACAGACTCCAGTGTAACTTTTTGACATAATGTACCTTTTACTTGCAGGTACAGTAATGTTGTAACCCATCTTCATCCAGGTCAGGCTCCCCCTCCCTTCCACTGTGAAGTGGACCCCTCAGTGTTTGAGCCACCCGCAGACTACACCACCCTCGGTCCAGGCCGCAGCGAGCCAATGAGGGATGAGGATGACAACCTGCTACAGTTTGCCATCCAGCAGAGCCTGCTGGACGCCGGCACAGAGAGTGACCAGGTCAGAATCAGAGAGCTCCTAATTAAACACGCTCTCTCCGAACACTTTTGGCATAGTACAAATTACAACTGGTATGTAAAACACACGGACATGTACCTAAACACAAGATCTGTTTGCCGTTTCCACTGCAGACAGTCTTTAGAGCTTTAGTCTTAGAGCTGTGTGTCAGATGTGGGAACTGATTGTTTTTACTTTTTACATCTAAAGCTAGTTGTTCAACAACTATGTGTGTTTTTTAGGTGACCATCTGGGAGGCCCTGACCAACAGCCGCCCGGTGCCCCAGTCTCCGCTGTACGAGGAAGACACTCAGCTGGAGAGGTGAGCTGACCTCCAACCTTTACTTGTTTCCTTTACAGGCAGGTTCACACAGCTCAGACTGGAGGGAAGACTCCACCTCTGTGTTTATAGGTTAGCTTACTAGCTTACTTTATCAGCTCAATATCATTCGCCACAGCTGGATTGTGTTTTGAAACTAACCTAGAAAAAGTAGGGGTCTTTCAGAGTTTATTCTTAATAGGAACATTTATAGTTACAGTTATTGTAGAAACATCATGAGGATTAACTTGTGTCTTTTCATAATTCTTTCTTATTCAGTGAAAACTCTGGCTCGTGAAGTAATTTAATTAAACGTCTCCAAATAGAGCTCAGTGATTAGCGTTTTCTTTCCACCTTCTCCTGGGAGCAGCAGCTCCCAGTCATCCTGTAATGAACTTCCCTGTTCAGATCCCCTTCTTTTGTTTAATAAAACTTCAGTTTAAGTCTTAATATCCTCGTTTCTTTCCTCTCTCAGGGCAATCCAGGAGTCCCTGTCCATCTCACTGGCCAGCAGAGAGGGAGATGACACAGCTGACCCCAGCCAGCCCGCCTCTCTCTCCCCATCAGACCCCGCGGGCAACTCCCCGCTCTCCTACAGTCAAGTGACCGATCCGCGGTTGTCAGGACACTTTGGTGTGGCGTCAAGCTTTGATGAGCAGCTGCGTATTGCCATGGAGCTGTCGTGCCGGGAGCAGGAGGAGATTGACAGGTGAGGAAGGAGAGAAAAAAAATGTTAATGCAACCACTGATCATCAACAGAAGCTTGTTTGAGAGTTCCAGAGGTGGTTTGACTGTTTCAGACATCCAGAGGTTTTCTGACGATTTGATTTTGTTTGTTGCGCTCCTGCAGTGAGAACTCACAAGGCAAGGCTAAAGATGTGCGCCCTTTTGTCCGTTATCTTACACCTGCTTATCCTGTGCAGTCCCAGCATGCCGTGGGCGAGAGGCAGGGACACCCTTGACAGCTTGTCTATCTATCCCAGGGCTAAATATGTTGACAGATGTTCATGTGGAAGGAAACCCACACACCAGCACTACTGCAGCACCGTGCAGCCCGTTACTAGAGATGGAAAATTAAAATAAAGACGTGTTTTGTTTTGGATGTAATAGAATGTGGTTTTGAGTGGACCGCTTTTTGTGGGCTTTAGAAAATGCCTGGCTTCTTCCCAGCTGTTGCCCATGGTCTCCCTTTAGTCCACCTCTTTGTATTTTTACTTTTCATGAGTGAACACACAGGGAGTGCTGCAGTCTGTTCTTCTATCACAAACTCTGTTTTTGGCACAGTAGGGAGACAAACAACGTCTGCGACACAGTGGGGTGTCAGAATATCTTGTCTTCTGTTCCGTGTTGTTAGTTGTGCGCCTTAATACAGAGATGGTACAGTAATAACAGACAGGGTGTAGACGAGGTTGTGTAGTGTCTGATGCTTGACGATCATGCAGTGGAGCACAGCTTTGGCTGACTCATTATTGGCTGCTTGGGGAAAGCAGTCAGATTGACTTGTGAGGTTTTGGAAAAGTTGAAACCTACAATTAAAAAAACAAGTTTGCCCCAGTGAGCTTTGATCTGTGACCAGAGTTGAAGGATCAAAAGTGAGATTATGGTATCAAGAGGGAGTTCTCCCACAAATCTACCCCCTTAAATACCTGTAGGAGCCTGATATTTTCTCCTGTCTGTTTTTGTGTTTCTCTTTACCAAAGCTTACCATATGTACTGAAACAAAGGCTCCTTCTGAAAACTTCATTCATACTACCACATAACTATCGAACCTACATGCTTAATTCTGACATCAAAACACCCCTATTAAAGTAATATAAGCCATTCTACAGTTGCTGCTGTGTTTTTCTACTTCAAATGTTGTGTAGTTAGGAGAGGATTTTTTTATTTATTTATTTATTTTTTTTACTAAAACAAGCCTCGTTCACACTACTGGAATAACCTCAGGCACTGCTTGTGATTTTCACAGGACTCATGTTACATTCAGGAACATTTTAATTTTATACTTTTTCACACATGCCATGGCAGAGGTGCAATAGATGGGGCAAGGGACAGTCCAGTAGATGGCGATAATGCAACACTCTGGATGCTAAAACTTCAAGAAGGTGGGGCAAGGCAAGGCTGTTCAAAGAAGGCTGGGATACACTCTTTGACCCTTGTGCTAGATGTTGGAGGGTTACAACAGACAGTGCTAGAAATAAGGGGATGCTTTCTGCTCAGCTTTGGGTGCGCTCGGCTTGACAGAACAATTTGGGTACGCTCAAATGGATGGCAGCAGATATACAATAGATCGTTTTTATGTATTTTTTTAAGGTCGTTTATTAAGGACCTTTATAGTAATTGCAGGATTGTAATTGTCACGCATATTGTTACGTCTCATATAAATACATTCGGTCTCAAGACCATCTGCAGATTCCTATGATAGTGTGCCACCTATTGAGGCTTTTGACATGTGCAGACTGGATTTCACTGTGCATATGTTGTACCCTGGTGATATGATGCCATGACTCCTCTTCATTTTAACCTCTTTGGGGCAAGGCTGGATGTACATGTACGCAGCAGAAGACATTGCTTAATATTTTCAGGAACATGGCAGATGAGGAGCTGTTTTTGTCCAGTGCCAGTGCTTTTGTGTTGTATTTACTATTCAACAAGTTCATGAGACAAGTAATACTAACCATAAACAAGTCACGGATTTGAATACGTCATCAGTGAAGTCTTGACGGTTTGTTCGCTCCACGCATCTTTCGTCAGACAGATGTAACCCTTTGTGTGCTTGTCCCTGCATTGTTACTGCTCTCATTCACAAACAGCCACACCAGCATTTTCTCTGAAAGGTCACAAGGTGTTGAGGTGGGAAATTGGCAGTACAGATTTCCCCGAATATCGACCCCTACTCCTGTTCGAGTGCATGTGTGAGAGAGAGGCTTAAAAATATCAGATGATCTTACAAAAGATCAGCGAAGTTACGATGGTTAATCACAGTTTTTTCTTCTGTGACAAAGTGAGGCATACCTGCAAAGTAATAAAGTCACAGCTGTCATTGTTCTGATTGGTGAGCTTTATTTCTTATTTTTGTCACAGGAAGCAGAAGGAGGAAGAGGATGAGCTGGAAAGGATCCTGCAGCTGTCACTCACCGAGAAGTAATGTCACAACAACAACAACAACAACAACAACAACAACAACGGAGGCGCGTCTTCATTGGGGAACAATCTCCTTAATTTATTCTGTTTTTATTTTTTAAAATCCTGAGATGTTAAGTTATTACAAATATTTTATTTGTGTTTCTCACATGAAGGCTGCTACAGCAGAGTGTAAAGGACCAGAATATAAGAGGTGTGGAGGGATAAATAAGAAGAGGTGGAAACAGGTACTCTGCAACACACTACAGTGAAGGAGGAGACAAAAGGGAGAGAGTCTTTGTTTTTTCTTTTTTTTATTGACTATTTTTCACAGTCTTGCTGTCTTTATGGAGTGATGAATGATCCTTAAACTTTAAACCTATAACATGTTCCATGATAATGATGAAAAATAAGAAAATACAATCTTTAATGGAATAACTTAAGAAAATATGATTATAATATTTGAAACATTTATGTTGGCTTACTCCTATGTGTGGAAAAATAAAGAATAATGACCATCCTCGATCCTTTTATTCAGTGCTTTTGAACAAAGGAACAAACATAAGATTCACGTGTGTGTGTGTGTGTGTAGTTTTGTATTTTACAGTTTCATCATTGTTTCATAGCGAAAAAAAAGGGCAATCATTCTGATCTGTGCAATAATTGGCTCATGTTAATTTTTACAATTTATAAAAGCATGATAACCTTCCAAACAGTGACACAAAAAACATCCATATCACATGTAATTCATTGATTGGTTTGAGTTGTTAATAATAAATATAAAAATAATCTTTAGCCCTTGTTGAAATTATCTAATCTTTTCAAAACTGGGTGATAAAGTTGTCTGTATCAAAGAGCTCTTTATGTTGTTATCTCTCGTCATATAGACACAAAGGATCTCAACCTTACTACATGAATAAACAGTTACAATGATTTGTAAATCTTTTATCAAGAAGCTAATAATACACCTTTCATACTCTGTTAATGTTCTACTATATGAAGGGAAAATCCCGGATATTCAAATGTAGGACCGCCCCTGTAAAGTCAAAGATTTTAATCATGAGGCAGAGACCTCTTTGTTTTCTGAGATTCCTTCCAGTACAGCAAGAAGCCTTCTTTTTTTTGTCAGCCTGTACTTCTGAGGACATTTTGGTGTCTTCTGCTTTTAAGTGGTGAATTCCCAGTGCACAGCAACTTGTTTTGTTTGATATCTAGTGTTGGCAAAAAATGTTGTTGCACATTTCCGATCTGTTGTTAGCATAGTTAACACGCATTAGCTCGGAGGGCTAACTTGGCTTGTTCACTGTATTACGTGAACATCACTGTCACCCCGGATGTCCCTCTGAGCCCTGTGTAAACTCCTTGGGGCTTTTATTGCCCTTATTTTACTGGACAGTTTTAGTGTAAAATAGGGAAGGAGAGGGGGACTGACATGCAGCAAAGGGACGTGGGTTTGAATCAAACCCGCCGCTGCTGCATCAAGGACACAGCCTTTGCGCATGGGGCGCCTGCTCTACCAGGTGAGCTCGAGGGCACTCCCAAACTCTAAAACTCTATATGGAAAAAAGGAATGAATGGTCACATGGTAATCCCAAATTTTCCTCTAGTGCCACCATGACTTTACAATTTCATTCTTTTTGTCGCAATGTCTCAACAACTGTCGGATAGATTGCCAAGACATTCACGTCCCCCCATAGATTTTATGAAAAACATGGAGGATGTATTAGTCTTTAGTTTGTGGACTTCTGTTTTAAAATCTCTAGGCGAGGTGGGTGTAGCTGCACTCTCGTACATGGCAGTCGTTTCCTAACCCTGACCTTAGCTACTGTGTGTCCGTAGCTAGACGTCTTTGCTTCTGTTTGGCATTTTGACCAACCCCATTTTAATTTTTTGGATCCAGAAGTGACCATATTTGGATGACAGGGTGTATCCGAGCAATAACCCCAAGGCGCCTATATCGTCAACCTCACTGCTCACAGTGAAAGGGTAAAAGTTCTAAGACGAATTCATAGACAAACCTGGAAAATACATTATGTATGTACACTGCCATAGATACACATTGCTGCGCATCTATCCTGATAAATAAGTTGCTTTGATACTTTCAATCACAAAGTAGCCATGCCCTAAAACATACTCTGCTTTATGGTCTATTTTTTTTTGGTAAATTTGACCATAATTTACAAAATGAAGACTTAAATCTAAAGATTGAGACCATAAACTCGTTAGGTAAATGCTTACTGAGGTAATAAATCAAGTGAGAAAGATGGTATTTCTTGTAGACTTCCATACAATTGGACTTCTTTTTACAATCAGTGAGGTCGCCCCCTGCTGGCCATTAGAAAGAATGCAGGTTTTTCTCTTTTCAGATCAGGAGGCTACGTCCACTTTTTTTTCATAGTCTATGTGATCCCCATCGGATGGGTTTTTCATCTCGCACCCTCATCAGGTCAGTTTGGCAAATATTAGCAAAACTAAAGGCCATGCCATCAGCCTCTGCAGTACATTGTGTTAAGTGCTAATTAGCAATGTTAGCATGCTAGCACACTAAACTAAGAGACCAACAGAAGACTGGTCCACATGGCCAAGTGTATTTCTGACAGATTTTCACAATGCTAAAGAATTTTGTCGAACCTTCAGGGGCAGTATGCAGTCTCTCACCTGAAGATGAACATCAAATTACAATACTCGTGACAGTTTACCCCTCAGAATGCTTCAGCCTTTATGTTCTTCTGTGCTGTGCTCAGTTGAGATTTTTCAGGGGTGTGATTCTCATAGGTGGTGTCCTGCTCCTGGTCATTCGCAGCATATATGATATCCCTCCGCATCTTTAAGACTTCCTGAAGCTCTCCATCCAACTGAACTATATCAGACAAAAACATACAAATGTTATTTTCTTGAACTTTACTCGCTTATATGTACATAAAAACAAATATTGAGTCATTCTCACCGAGCTTTTGTTCGTGCTCATCAGGAATCACATATTCACCCCCCACTGGTTCGGCTGAAGGCGGAGGGAGCTCGGCTTTGGTTTGTGAACGCAGCATAGGTGCCACTTGTGCCTTGGGTACTGTTTTAGGTGTAGGTGAGGTGATGCTAATGCACTTAGGAGCAGGTGACACCTCTGTTGGACACATAAACATTGTCAGGACCTGTGTACTTGTCACTGAGACTGTTTGTAACAGTAGTGTTCTCACCGATGCGAGTGTCGTAGGGCTGAGACGCCATGTAGGGATGGAGACGATACTCTGTCTTCTCAAGGAAGTACTTAAGCACATTATTTAAGGAGGAGACGGTCACCTACAGAGAGGAGGACACATGAAGACAAGCAAAGAGAAAGAAGAAGAAGAGAAATTTGTGGAGCTGTGGGACTTACTGGTCTGTCCAGTTCGATGACAAACCCTGAGTTTGTGGAGGTCACTCTGTAGTTCTTCATGACAGGTCCACTGAAACAACAAAGAGCAGGATTATTTGCTGATCTGGCCTTTGATAAACAACAACTCATACATTCTTTTCTATATTTTAAATGAATTGTAAACAAATTGGAATGAGCAAAAAACAACCACCACCTATCCACGTGTTCACCCCTTTATCAGCCTCATGGTTACTGGTTGTCATGATAACACACTTACATTACTAACAGCACACCACCATGCAGATTATCCACATGCTAATGAGGGATTTTGTCAATAACACACTGTTGATTCTAGTACTTTTACTTTTTTTAAGTTTGTATATGAACATAACAGGTGAGGACTGGGACGTTACAGCATAGCTAGTGATGGGTAGGGCAAAAAAGATGTCTCGATGATTATAACAGTACCATTTTCTCAGTATTTATACCGCAATGAAGGAAGGGTTCCTCCAGAGCCACCATTTTGATTTATTTATTTTTTTTAACTTTTGGCCAGAAAAAACCTGTATGTGTCACTTTTACTAAGACCCATGAGAACATTTCCGACGCACATAAAGCTAAAAAAACAAATCAGATTTCAGGCCAAGAATCTCTGAGACCAAATAGCCCACTCCTTTCCAAAAATCAGTTCAATTCAACTCAACTCAATTTAAATAAGTTAAGTTCAGTTCAGTTCAATTCAATTCAATTCTATTCTATTCAACTCAACTCAATTGAACTCAGCTCAACTCAACTCAACTCAACTCAACTCAACTCGATTAAGTTCAGTTCAATTCAGTTAAATTCAGCTCATTTTAAATCAATTCAATTCAATTTAAATCAATTCAACCCAACTCAACTCAATTAAGTTCAATTCAATTCAATTCAATTCAGTTCAATTGAACTCAACTCAACTCAATTAAGTTCAGTTCAATTCAATTCAATTCAGCTAATTTTAAATAATTTAAATTCAATTTAAATCAGCTCGGCTCGACTCAACTTGGCTCGGTTCAATTCAAAACAACAGCCATTTAAGAAACGTACTGTACACACAACTACAATAAAAATACTATCAACAACAACACAGTAGACTGAAAACAACACGTGAAAGTAAAAATGTCTCATTTGCAGAGTACACTGAGTAAAAAAAATGCAACTTGTGGAATGTGCAAAGTGCAGCAATAAGAGGTATAGTTTATGGCAATCGCCATAACCACAATCTATAATCCACCTCGTAAAGAGTTAATATAATGGGCAAGACCAAAAAATATGTGCATGGTCTGTAGAAGCTGATCCACACTCCATCTGGCAGGAGTGCTGAGACCCAGTTAGTCTGGATTTGTGGTGGTAAAGACTTTTTCCAACACAAGTCTCGAAGTGCTGGTGGAAGTAGACTGGGTTTCCCATACTTGAGGGCAGTGGTGTAGTGGAGGGTATACCCACCTCTTCCTCTAGCCATTCACAGCTAAAAAGCCATGGGCATATATAGGGTATACCCACTTCCTGTTTAGTAACCTACCAATTGTAGTACCACCCACCTCATCACCACACCAATACATAAAGCCGTGTTTCCTCTGATATTACTCAATATAGGTTGATTTTTATTCATTAGTTTGAAGCCCTTGTATATTTTACCTATGATGCCTTTTTTATTCACAGAGGAAAAACTTTTGTCTTTTACTTTTACACAACAAAGTTCAAATTAACTCTTTTGCAAATTGGAAATAATAGTTAATTATTTCCTGGTGGATTCTTCTCTTCCTGTACATGTATCTGTCAGATGACTCACACATCCATAACACTAGTGATACAGCACTTACATAAGGAAATCTATAAAAACCAAAGACTCAGATTCATGTGACGAATGAATGGCAGCAAAGCTTCCTATGAGGCAAGGAAAGGAAACCTGATATTCACTTTGCAAGGATTAACAAGATTAACCTAAATATAAATCGCTGTATTATTCTGTAGTCGGTGGTGCATTTCAGACACACCTGGGCGTCAGTTGTCGGAGGGTTAGGGCGTAGTTGTTGGCCAGGGTGGACGGGCGGAGGATGATACCTCCATACTCGGGGTTTGCCTCTAACATGTGCTCAGCTTCCTGCCGAGTCACATTGAAGAAACACCTGTAGGAATCAAAGACATAAACATAAACACTTCCTCATTGCCAGTGAAGGGAATAAAGGTGTAGGCGTTATGTTTCAGAGGGCAAGGGACGAGAACATGTTCATTGATTTAGGATGATAATTTGATTTTTTCATGACACAATCAGTTTTTAAAGCATTTTATTGATCATGTACGCAGGTTATTTGTCTCTGGGGGGTTTTAACAGACTTATTCTGGAGATACTTCAGAAATTGAGGATATTTCAAGTCATGATGACGAATTCAATACAAAATATACATATGTAATTTGTTTCAAAGCATCACTTTATTCATTGATATGAGTTAACCATTCATTTTCACACCATTCACTAATGTTAACTAACTAATGTTTTTTTTTGTTGAAAAAGGTCTGTTAAGACCATTATTTTTTTATTTTTACTGTTTGGAGATTTCTGTGTTAAGATTATTTGTCTATTGGAATGGATAGAAAAAATAATAAAAAGTACAGTATCCTAATCAAAAAAATGTTTTTCTAATGACTTGTGAGTGTGAGGAGTGTAGAAATCCACCCTAACAATATTTTTTGTGTTTGCAACATAATTGGGTTAAACATTTATAGACTGTTATTGTGTTTGCTTGTGGAGACAGAATCTGTACTCACGCAGGGAGCTCAGGGGCGCTGGAGTCAGGCTTGTCTTTGGGCGGTGAAGGGGAGGGTGCAGGGAAGGCTGTGCGGAGGAAGGCTGGACGGGGTGGGAGAGCAGGACGTGGCGAGGGGGGACGTCTTTTCTTCTCCTGATCCAGAACATCCTGCAGGAGCAACATCTGGCCAGGCAGCAGCTGCAGGGTACTGGGAATCTCTTTCTGCAAGGAAAACAAAAAGCTTGTCATTGTTTTATTGCTAACATCATCAATTTTACACAGTTTGTAACAGGTTAGAAATACACATCCTGGTATGTGGTTGTAAAATCCTCTCTGACTTCCCCTTAGAAATCAAATGTATCGACTTTTACAGGAAATCTGTGACATTTGTTTACCAGGTAATCATAAACTAACACTTGCTGACACCATCTATCATTGTCACGTACATAAGAGATTAAATGGATCTTCAGTTTGCAGATATCTCTGCTTCCTTGTTTGTCAATGCCATGATCATTTTCTCTCTGAGTCCGAAGGGGAGTTTGTCCCTAGAAGCATCACCAGTCAAGTTATTGCCTAATTATTAACCAGGAAATACTTGTTTCCTTTTGTTTGTTGTGCTTGGCTTTGTGTGTCAAATAGGTAAACTATTACTCACAGAAAATCTCAAGAAAATGTGTTATTTATCCAGAGTTATGTATAGTTAAATACCTGTCCTTGGAGCAGGTTTGAACTCAGACATTAAGGGATTGTTTTTTGCTTTTCTTATGAGCACTTGGCAGTATTCTGTACCAAAAGCAGCAACACACACTGACGTTTATCCATCAGAGTGTGTCTTTAAGTTTGCATGTGTGTGTTTGCTTACTTTGACCACAGTCAGGATGTAACCCCTCCACTCCTCTCCTGTGTCAGAGTTGTCCATCTGTGCAGTCACATCAACAGCAGACATTTTGGTTACGTTACAGTGTCCACATAATATTTCTTTGTAGATTTAAAGTTTTTATGACTTTCAGATTTATATCTAATTTAAATTTGAACATCACACCTTTAGCTGCACCTGCGCTGTCGGCAGGGTGAGAGTGAAGATAGTTGGTGTCTTCCTCTGATACGGAGAGTCTAACTCCATGGACTTCAGGTGCACCAGGTCCAGCTTCTCTGTGTACTGACAAGGTCAACAAGAATCATCGGAAACATGCCTGATCAATAAAACATGTATTAATTTAATTGATCTAAAATAGGAGTGACTTCTAACATGATTATGAGAAAAATGAATCTGTGTCTCTGTTTGTCAGTGCACCCTGCCCTCTGTGCAGTGGTGGAGTGAGAGGGTGGCACCTGGGGTTCCAGCCCCATATGCTTTCTCAAAGTCCCAAAACTTTTAGGTTTTGAAAATACCTCAAACTTTTTATCATTTTACCTCAGTCTGTCTGACTGGACCGGCAAATCAGAGCAAAGGTTTTGTTACTTTGCTAAAGTCCTTGACACATCAATTTGATGGTTGTCCAGTGGTTAATATCTCTCTCAGTGAGTGTCTTTCTCCGAGATGGCAGAGCCTGTCGGTGAATTGAATCACTCTGATTGACAGTTCAGCTCAGTGCTCGAGAAGAGAAATGGAAGTGAGGAAAGTAAACAAATGGCTGAAGTGAGGAGGGAGTGAGATCAAAACAAACAAGATTAATTTTTAGCCATTGGGCTCTTTACAAGAAACTTTTCATAACTGTTTGTGCTATTGTTCACTAGCGCACTGTAAATATCAGTTGTTCTTTCAGTATCACGTTGTGTTCTTAATGTGCTAACTGGCTAACTAGCATCTAGCATTGGTTTTCTGGTCACCCATTTTGAATGACTAATCAGAGTTCAGCTGCCTGCTGGTATGGAAACTTATTTCCTCTCGCGTAGGCACAGAACACGTGCTAGTTGGCCACTGGCTGTAATCTTTGCAGTGTGTTCTAGTGCAACTTTTTAGCCAAGACACAACGTAAAGCGACGCAACAGTCCACCTTCATCACCACTAATTGTTTGATGTTGGTTTAGTGTGTCTGGGCCTTAATGATGCTGTTTAGGCCAAATTCCTACCTCACGTAGGAAAGATATATAACTTAAAAATGGTATCATCAGGCAGTTTTTTTAGGTGGTAGGAGTCAAAATGATTCATCCGCAGTGTTTGTTGTTTTATGTCTTCAGAATAATGAAGACAGTTGGAGAACAATTAGAAACCAAATAGTATGACGGCTTTACAGGATGAATATTTCCCCTCATTCATTCATTCATTCATTCATTCATTCATTCATTCAAATCTTTAGTCAAGACTGGGGTAATTAATTGAGGGAGACCCTCATTTTCAGTGATGCCGAGCATGGACAAAGACATTAAAAACAATCGATAAGCAAACAAAGAACCATCATGCTTATCAGTTTAAACAGATATGAAATCATACAAAACAACAATAGTGATAAATGATCGCTAAAAGTAGAAATACAGCGTGATAAACGTGTTAAAACGTGTGGCTCCACCTCTGCGTCACCTTCTTCGGCAGTGTTGTTGTTGTTTAACATTGTACATCTATCTCTGGGAAACAAATGTTAAATTCAATGTTACAGTAAATATTATTAATTTGTTATTTTGTAAATCACAGTGTTGCTGTCACTTTCAAAACCTCAGATAGGAGAACAAATGAAAGTGTTTGCTTACTGTGTCCTGTGTGTCATCTTTGTACAGAAAGAGCGTGGCTCCACGGAGCTCTCCGTAGTACTTCTTAAAATCCTGAAAATCAAAAGGTGTCAGGTTGAATGTCTATTTTTGACACAACATTCACAGACTTTAATGTAGTCATGAAACCTCATCTAGGAAAGTCACTCGTCATCATTTATTTCCCATTTAGTGCTCTCTTATTTTCTTATACATATCTGTCTGCATGATTCTCCCCATCTTCATCCTCACCTTCTCTTTGCTGAGTTTCTTCAGCAAGTGTCCAGAGTAGTAGAGAGGCAGATCTGTGATGGTCGCCCTCCTCTTGTAGACAACTCTGACTGGCATAGACATCGTCCAGCAAAATATGTGTGCTTCGTCTGGCCTGGTTTGGTTCAACTTTAACTTTTCGTAGTTGGGTCCTGAGAAAGTATTGTTCCTTTGTTTCCTCGTGAAGCTCTGACGGATTCACAACAAGCTGATTATTGGTCTATAAACCAGCACTGATAAGCTCCTCTCCGGCTTTTCCCTCAGTCCTAGTGCTGTTTGACTTGAGAATGAGGAAATGCTGCAGTGATTTATAAAGAAGGAAGTAGTTAGGGAAAAATATCCCAAATAAGAAACTCTTTTGTACTTTGAACCTGGGTGTAACAAATATAACAAAGAAAGGCAGCTCTGCACCACAGTCTCAGGAGCAAGGAAACGTGCAAGCATGTGTTTGCACGGATCCAAGTTAAAACTGTGCAAGTCTGATTAATTATCTCCATTTATTGTAACATGTGTGAGTAGATAGGGAGCTCAGTATCAGCGTGGTGACGATACATTCAGGAGGATTTCCCTTGTGAGAGCTTGACAATATTCACACACACACACACGTAGACATAACCCACACTGGTCCAGCTGAGGGTTTAGAGTTCAGTAGATGCAATTCATTATGATATCAAATAAAGTTTCTCTATAAGTAAAACAATCATTTCAGTGAGTGTCAGTATACTGCGAGAGGACAGACAAAGAGTCAGGCTCATTGATACCTTTATTAATAAACTCCAGCTTGTTGCATTGCACCAGAAAATATATTAATATTATCCTTTACTTCAGTGGTCTCCAACATTTTTCTCTTAAGTAACCCCTTTTCCACACTGAGTAAACTGACGACCCCAGACTAAGTGACATATGTGATGAATGTTTCATATCATAATCAATGCAACAATAACGGTACAGATTAACTGATAAACAGCACAATTAACCCAATAAGTGAACTACTGCACTAATGGCAGGAAGTTTGTGTAAAAAAGCAATTTGGATGAATCTTGAGCAGATTATTTCCTGTGAATTTCACATCAGAGATGAGTTTTCTTGATATTTTTAGGACCTTTTAATATGATTCTCTGTATGTATTGTGTATTACTTTCATTTTTAACAATCGTACATACTTAATAGAACTGTTTTCATCTCCCTGACACTTTGCCGTTGTTCTATTAGCTCTTGGTTGTAACTGTATACATTTCTAATGCAGGACGAGGCAGTTGAACAGAGAAGGAAGGCTCTGTGAATATAGCCTGTATTCAGGTCTTCACTTTCTATCTATCTATCTACATGTATATAAAATCTAGCTCCTCTTTCAGCCCTTGGTATGTTTCAAGCTTCTCGTGTCCCTTCTTCCTGATGCTGCTGTTGCTCAGGATTGCTACATCCATCACCACTGCCTTCTTCTGTCATTTGTCGATCAACACGATGTCCACTTGATTAGCCGTCACCAGTTTGAAGTCCCACAGGATCTTAGCTCAGTCACCCTCCATCGTGACCTTGGTACTTCCAGCCTATACTCAGTGCAGATGTTCCTGTACACTATGCCAGCCACTCAGTTATGATGTCCCATGTATGCTGTTCCTGCCTGCATCTTACACCCTGCTATTAGGTGGTGTAGCCCCAGCTAGAGGGGCTACATGCAGAGGATGTGGAAAATATATATATATTGCGTTTTCCTACACCCCATAAAATCCAGAAGGCCTCATGACCCCCTGTGAAACCTTGCCGACCCCTTGTGGGGGGTTGTGACCACCAGGTTGGGAACTAGTGATTTATATATACTATCATAAAGAAACGTATCATGATGTTAAATTTACAACATGCATCAACAAAGCCACATCTATAATGCATTAAATAAGAAATTGTGCCGTAAGAAGGTTCAGTTTGTATCCGTTGTATTTCAGTTGTGATTGTCACATGTAGATAAATACAAATATTGCTTCTTTGGTCAAAAGTGACTGTTATGTTAAATTCTAAATCTTAGTGTTACACTAGCCGCCATTATACCAGAGCAAATCAGACTGTAGCTGCAAATCCCCTGAGAGTGTTCAACTGAGCAATGGTTTTGTTGATTTTAAATTCAACATTCATTTGTAAGAGAGAGAATGTGTTAATTCTTCTCTAAAATATTATTTAGTGTTGCTTTAAAGCCTGGTCAAAATCAAAATCAAAATCAAATAAACATTGTGCAGTGAGACAACACTGAGGAGCATGCTGTAAACGTATGCAGGACAGTTGGTTGCAAAAAACACAGCATCGCACGTGTAATGCAGCAGCAGCAGGGCACAGGACTGGAGGAACGACACACAGCGACACAGTGGGGACACAGAGATGGAGATGAACCACAGCAGGCCTTTGATCAACCAGAGGAACACCTGGAGGAGACGCAGGAGCGACCAAACAGTCCAGGACAGCAGACATCCCAACAACCACAGAGCTTTGGATGGAAGAAAGACATCAGCATCCTAAAGGACAGAGACAGGGAGTGTTTCTGTCTTGTCTCGGGACGTTGGGAATGCTCTGCAGAGTGTTTGGATTAAAGTGGGCTTACATAGTCTTGTGCATCACTGTCTCCCTTTCCAACTGATCCCACTTTAGAGAAAGAAAGGAAAAGTACAAAAATTCATACTGTAACACCGACAGAGAGAAAACGCTGGTATCACAGAGAGCATATTCTTTGATTATTAAAGGGACAGTTCAAGGTAAAATCAAAAATAGATATATTCCCTCTTACCTGTGGTGCTGTTTATCAGTCTAGATTGTTCTGGTGTGAGCTACAGAGTGTTGGAAATATCTCTACGGCCGTTATCTCCAACACTCTGCAGCTCACACCAAAACAACTGAAAATGTTGAATAGCACTTTTGATTTGGGGGTAAACTGTCCCTTTAATCCCCATATATGATAAAAGGTCCTTGCAGACTGCTTTTTCATGTATATTGAGCTCTTTTATAATGAGGTATACATCAAAGAAATTCAGCATTCAACATCCAGTGATGTCACTCACTGAGGAAACTGACTGCCAGGAGGACAAAGAGCACACAGGCCAACAGCAGCAACTTCCCTCCATGCCCACTCCCTCTCTGTGGCTCAGCCTGTAGTGCATTTATGACAAGAGAGATATTGTTTTTGACTGTATACTTATTATCCATAACTCAATAAAGATTTATAAATAAATTAATAATAAAATGTCTAATGTAATAAAACTGATAGCTGTGTATGAGAGCTTTATTATGACCAAAAAAAGAAGAAAAGAAAATCAAGATAAATTAGATAAAGTACATTTTGCCTAACTATAGCTATAGAGCCTGTGTGTGCAGGAATGTAGCCTAATAAATAATAATTAATTGAACTGGGTTGACTGTACTCATCAATATCATTATAAGGCAATGAAAGTTTAAAAAAAATCCCTTTAAATTAGCCTTTCAAATATTTGTTTTTAGTGTCACACTTTGGTGTCTATTTATCATTAATATTATCAATACTAATAATAAAGGCTAGTACTGATAATAACATCACTGCCTATAGTTTATTGCTACAACACCATCAGCAGTAGCTAAATTAATAATGGGAGCAGCAGTAGAAAGTCTTTTACTTTGTCCTACCTGTGAGGAGAACTCGCCCTCTGCTGCCTGCTCACACGCCCTGCAGATGCTGATAATGGGAACCAGACAGAACGAGTCTTTGATCTCATCACAGCTGCTAAATAATGAATTCAGTGGACGAACATCATCATCATCATCACCATCATCAGAGCCCCTCAGGTGGCTGAGACAACAGGCTGAACAGCGGTGGCACATTGTTCCTGTTGTGGACCGTCCAACAGTGACTGATCAGGTTTATCCTCAGTGTGCCAGCAGGGCGTGAAAGTGAAACTAACTGGAGGCCGAACAGAGACACAACTGTGCCTGTGTTTACTCACCTTAGAACAGGGACAGAACATTTAACATCTACAAATCAGTGTTAAATATGAACACATACCTCTTCTGTTGTGGTGTTTGTCATAATGTATTTTAGGGAAAACTGTGATGGTATTCCAACATTATGTCATCTGTGTCCAAAGTTTTTAATGGTTAACTGCATGTTTTAACTATTTTACAAAATAGGTCTCAGTGAAAACTGTTAATGGCAAATGCTTAACTTTTATTTGTTGTGAGTAGGAACAGATTTACAGGTCTCCTCCTCCTATCACAATGTTCTGCAGAGAGCACCTGTGTGGAGAAATGATGAGCACGAGAACCATTTGCTCAGTAATTAAAATGATGCACACAAGTCTGTCTGCATTCCTCACCCTACATGCTGATGCCTTCAGTGTCATTACCCTCATTGTCACCTTTAAAGGAATAGTTTGTGTGGTTTCACATTAAATATCTTGTGTAGCCATGTAAAATAAAATGAAAATAATTCACTAGAAACGTTTTGCTTTTGACTGCCTATGCATATACACAGAGTAATGTACTCTTTTGTTGTTGCTCCCATTTTTTCACAAGTTCAAGTCAACTATCTAAGACTGTTTTAATGCACTCAATAGATACATTTCTCTCAAATGTTGGTTGCAAATTTGTTAAAGTTCATGTTAGTAAGCAGCATCACCATCCAGACAGGTGTAGCATATCAAGGTTTTTATTTATTTACGTGTTTATTTGACAAGGACAAATGCATAAGACATTGCTTCATATGTAAAATACAATGTAGATGCAATGCACAGACTTCTAGCCATTGCTGTTTTGCAACCTCTGTCCCTGGTTAGGCTTTTAGAATTAAAACAGTAGGTGTAAGATTACCGAGCATGGCGTAATTCAACATATACAGTCAAATACAGACAAAGACTAAATCAAAGAAAACACCACAATAAGAATAGAGACAAAACAATTACAATGACTATGTTATTTAAGTATAAGGTCTTTGTGTGTATTTGTCTCTTTGTGTACATGTCCATGCATTGTGCATGCATTAATATGTGTCAATCAGTGCTCACAGGCTTGGTTCAGTTTCAGCCATTGCTTTACATGTGTTTTTACAGGTGCTGATTAAACAGCATCATTACTACACAGGTGTGCCTTGGGCTGGTCACATTAAAAGGCCAATTTATAAGGATTTCACATGCCTTGCGCTACAGTCATGCAGTTTTTGGTAGCCTAAAGAATCAGTCAGTATCTAGTGTGACCACCGTCTGCCTCATGTAGTGCGACACATCTCCGTATAGGGTAGATCGGGTTGTTGATTGCGGCCTGTGAGCGTTGGCCCACTCTTCAATGGCTTTGTCATACACGCTGATCCAGATCATGTCAAACATGCTCAGTGGGTGACATGTCTGGTGAGGGCATGTAAGACTGAGATGTTTTCAGCTTTTAGGAACTGTGTACAGATAGTTGCAACATGGGGCTGCCATCAGTAAAATGCACCTGTGTTTGGTGTCCGTAGCTTACACCAGCCCATACCATAACCCCACCGCCACCATGGGGCACTCTGTTGACATCGTTGACATTAGCAAATGGCTCGCCCACACAGAATCTGCCATCTGCCTGGTACAGCGTAGACCAGGATCCATCTGTGAAGAGAACACTTCTCCAAAGTCCCAGAATCCACTGAAGGTGAGAAAACTGCTGTCAGGTCAAGACTGGTGAGGAAGGGTGACGAGCAAGCAGAGAAACCTCCCTGAGATGGTTTCTAACAGTTTGTGCAGAAATTCTCTGGCTGTAAAAACAAATTGTTGCATCAGATGATCTTTCAGATGAAGACGCTGAATGTGGAGGGCCTGAGCTCGCATGGTTACATGTTGTCTGAGGTTGTTAGTACGGTTGGATGTACTGCCAAATTTACAGAAACCACGCTGGAGATGCCTTAGGGTGGTGAAATGAACATTCAGGGCATGGGAAACAGCTCTGGTGGACATTCCCTCAGTCAGCATATGCCAATGGCACACTCCTTCAAAACGTGCAGCATCTGTGGCATCTTAGAGCAGCCTTTTATTGTGACCATCCCAAGGTACACCTGTGTAGTACTCATGCTGTTCAATCAGTATATTGACATGCCATTCCTGACAGATGGATGGATTATCTTGGAAAAAGAAGAAGAACTCACTAACATGGAATTTGCAACCGAATTTTGAGAGAAAATCTTTTGTGTGCATAAAAGAGTCTTAGATCTTTCAATCAAACCTTTGCAAAATGGGACCAAAAACAAAAGCACTGTATAAAGATGTATATTCACTGTAAGTGGGCCTATCAACAGGCCTGGCTCATGTTACGTCACAGAACACAGTCTGAGGTCTGTGGTCAGGTCCCTGTTGGTTTTTGTTGTCTAGACCAAAAATAAGAGCTCCCCTCTGTATTGCCTGGTTAGCACCTGTGTCACTGTTCTCCTAGCAACCGAGGCTTGTCTCATAATGTCCACTGGAGAAATGACTGCACAAAACGAATGCCTAAAAACAGCTCATTACTGTGGGACTGCTGCAGGGTGAGCGGCCAGCTCAGGTTTGTTGTTGTAGATGTGAGTCAGAGTATCTGGTCTCGTCTTAATAAGTTGCAGCTTGGAAGTGACAGCTCTGTGCAAAACATGTTGGTACTGTTGCGTTGTAACGTAACTGAGTACATTTACTCAAGTACTATACTTAAGCACATTTTAAGTTACTTGACTATTTCCTTTTTTTTTTTTGCTACTTTACACTGCTGCTCCACTACATCTCAGAGGGAAATATTCTGTTTACTCCACCTGCTACCAGTCATTTTTCAGATTCAAACTATGAAAACAAGACAAAAATAAACTAATATATTATTTTGTATTATTGCGATGAGAGTTGCAACTTTACAGAGCCCCAAAGTATATTCTTGTGTCAGAAAAAAAATTACAATAGATGATTGGTTGTTGAATCATGTTTTGCTCATACCTTTAAATAATAAACACATGCACACAACTGTTTTAACATCTTTAACAAAACATTCCCATGCAAACTATTATATGTAGATAAAAACATAAAACATTTGGCACCATGCATCTGTTCTCTACATGGCTCCCACAGACTGATGCCCACTGCTGGCTACAGATTTCTTTCTCAGTGGTGTTCTCTGACCCCCGCCTGTCCCTCCGGCATCTCCCATATCCTCGTCTAATCCCTCATGCTGGAGGGGAGGCTAGGGAGCTGCACACTAAGGAGAGAAAACAGTCACTGTTTTCCATCATGGGGCCCCTAATGATGCTCCTCCTCAACCACTGACGGAGGAGAAAATGGCCACAGGGGTGACAAGGATGGGGGATAATATGTTGGACTGATGAAGCTCTACTAAGTGTCTGAAACAACAACATGCGTCTGCTCTTTGACTCCGAATTATGTAAATAAAACATGACAGGTGAGATGTGACATTTCAGTTTTATTTCAACATGTTTGTAATTGTGATTTATGTTCATATCATGTTGTAATAATTACAGTTAATCCAGATGTGAAGGCTTCCAGTTTTGGGCATTAAAGGTCTTTCTGCAGCCTTGTTCAGCTGTTATGACACTGAGGTCCTAAACAAGATGAGAGAAACATATTAAAGCTGAACTCATATCAAACATAAGTGATCATATTTTGATGCAGACTGACCTAAGAGCTCTGGATTATGATTTGCTGGCAGGCCGCTGTAGAAGGTCAGACTGGAGATAGAGGTCAGGCAGGGGTCGGACCATCCCCAGGCATCATTACAGGAGCATGGCTGGTCGGGGTAGACGCTGCAGGAGACGTCCCCTCCTGGAAAACAAAACAACCTCTGTCCAGGTTCCCTTTTCATTTCTCTTCCCACCTCCATGCAATCGTCACTTGTTCTAATTAGTAGAATGACAAAACACACGCATGTGCATGTTCCCAGCTGTAAGTACGCATATTTATCCATGTGATCTCTTGTTGTAATGGTCGCAGTGATGGAGGAGTGGAGGTGTAAGCGGGCCTGTAATGAGAGGCTGAGGTGAGGGGGAGGCAGGGAGGAGCAGAGAGCCTGCTGGCTGAGAGGACAAAGCCTGGGGCGGTGAGGTGGATCTCCTGCTGCGGAGGTGGTTTGAACCAGGGTAATATTAACACAGGACCACTGGTTTTACTCATCAGTCTGCTGCGTGGTGTGGTACCACTGTGATCTCTGCGTCTGCTCTGCAAATACATCCATCTACACAATATGTTTTAATCTAGTGTGGAGTCTTATGTTTTGTTTTAAGTTTCCAGTGGTGAATGGTTATTTCTTTTTTTGTAATTTAAAACAGTTTGTTTCGGAGATGCTTTTGCATCAAAGTCATTTTCTTGATATGAGTCAGGTGATTTTCTTCTGCACTAGAAAATTCACAAAAACAATTTCTATCTTTAATACAATTCCTTGAAAAATATCCATATTCAATTTAGTTTTTTATGCTCTGGGGAAAAAAATGACATTAAGGACATACAAATAATTTTTATTCATTTATGATAAATATAAATATTTTACATTTTTAATTATGGTTTTATTGCTTTTTACTTCTTGTTGCCTCTTAATGTAAGTTTCTCTTTGTATATTTCCTGTGTCTTTTATTTCATATTGTTTTACTCAGCTACATTGTAAATGAGGTCTCTACCTCAGTGTATTTCTGAGATAAAATAAAGGTTGAATGCATGAATGAATGAATGAATAACAAGGCTAAAACCTGACTGTAGTATAATAGAAAGCAAGAAAGTGCAGCTGGTACCAGTGTGCAGATGCTGCAGAGCTGTTCCAAATATTCAAAATCAATAGGTACTGACATTTCTGACAACACTGAAACATGCCAAGTAAATTTTGTAAATTTCATTCACACAAGAAGTGACAGAATAATTTATATCATGGCCAAAGATGTCAGTACAAAGATCAACTTTGATTTGTGAGTGTGATGTTGAAGGACAAAAACTGTATGAGCTGCAAACAGCTGGAAAATATATGTTGAATCTCTGAGAAATATATTTTGATTTCTTTGTTGGGGTTTCAAATTTGAAAGAGGCAGCAGCAGTAACATCGCTGTCATGACAGTGTGACCGTAAAACAGAAGCAGCTAAATGGAATTCAGCCATCACTACTTTTAGTACTCACATTTGTGCTTTGCCTACTGAGGCATGTCAAAATCCTCTGTGAAAAAGAGCCAATCAAACACACACAAACACACGGACTGTATTACCTTCCTTATGTTTGTGGCTGCATTTCCTGATTCCCAGAATCCCACTGATGGAATAGGTGGACTCAGAGGAGTAGGCTGTTCCCATGGTAACAGATGATGCAGATGAAACTGCAGGGGTCAGAGGTCAACATCAGGAAAACATTAGACACACACAGATATGTCAAAAGAGAGTCAAAGGGACAGAAAAACTCACCAACTTCACAAGACTCAGACTGGACTTTGTTTCTGATGATCCTATGAAGACAGAAGGAACTCACTCAACATGCATTTTAATGATCTGTGTTGTCAGGCACACACACACATGAGGTCATCTATACCTGTTGATGGAGCTGATGCTGGGCACACTGTTGTGATCGCACACCCGCTCCAGCAGCAGCCTGTCTCGGATCTCCCAGGCGAACATGGTGGGGTTGATGTGTTTCAGATGTAGGATTGTTTGCACGACTCTGGGAGTGGCCACTTTGGGCTTAGAGCCTCCGATCACCCCGGGTCTGATGCTTCCTGTCTCATTATACCTGCATTCACAACACTGATATCTGTCAGCAGGGTTGACACTTTACCTGGGGAGTAGATGCTGATGTGACTCATGCATATAAACTGGATTAAAGTGAGATAAACATAGCACTAATAGGCTGTAAGAACAGTCAAAACACATGGTCTGGAGATAATTTCTGAAATAAATTAATTTATGAATAATACATCCTGGGATGACCACAAATTGGAGTTAACATACACATGGATAGTCAAATATTAGGCTACAGGGAAATAAATATAGGACATTTAGAGATCATAGTGGGCAGTTTTTAAATATTAACATACATGCCCAAACATTTTAAGATTTGGATGGTGTGAACACTTATGAAGGTTATTGTTATTACATGCAGCAGCAGTGTCACCCAGAATCTGCTTCATCACTCTGTCTATAAACTAATACAAAGTCCTTTTCCTTTACCTGGCCAGTATCTTGCTGACACAGCCGTGACTGACGCGCAGGCGGCGGGAGATCTCACAGGGACGCACGCCCCGTTGCGCGAGCTCCACGATGCGCTGCCTCACCAAGTGCGGTAACGGGCGGCCGTTAATGAAGACACCGCCGAGCTGGTTCACCCCGCCGTGCCCTGAGCACCGGAGCGGATCAAAGAAACAAGTAATAAAAGAGGAAACTTACTCTACGCTCAGGTGACACCTCACAGCTTTAATTTAATAAGAAGCATCTGTACTTACTGTGCGTAACGGTGAGCGGCACCTGTCCAAAGCGCACCTCCATCACAGACTGACTCTAAAAAACTAGTCCTAAACTTCTAGATGTTGGTATAAACAACGTATAGTTGGTTTCGAGGAAGAAACATTATCATTCAAACGGAAAACTGATAAAAGAAGTTTGTCCTGTGTGCGTTTGTTTGCAGAGCAGACTGACAACAGTGTGGCTTCAGCACCTGAGCGGTGGACAGAGGCACGAGCCCTTGATTGGACGCACACGCACGGGTGCACGCGCCTTATTATGTAGTTGCTTTAGTCAGTTCTTGTGATCAGAGCTGTAAGCAGGATTTTAGAAACATATAAGTCATACGCACTCAATAAACCGCAAGTCCAAGATTAGATTATAGACTATGGGCTACATTTTATTTCCCAGTGTGTTAAAAGTTGATTGCGCATTCTTACGAAAACCCGGTGCTGTTTCAAAGTCTTCTCAGATTTAGTCTACCAGTAATCAAAATCTGGCGGAGAATTATTTTTTTATACATTTATTAATGTTGTGTGCATCTATAGTAATGTAATAATAGTATAATATAATAATATAGTATCTATAGTATTGTAATATTTAAGTATTTTTAGTCTAAAATGCTGGACACAGCACATAAAACACCCAACATGCATGTTTAAGTTTTAAATTGGCGAATGTAACCATCCATGTTCCCATAAAAACACCTAAATTACCGATATAATACATAATTTATCTATAATCTTTTCACTTTTGTAATTGTTCTTATCTGTCTATATTTGTATACATTTTATATTGATATATATCTGTGTGTCATTCTTTTATTTTGTACAGCACTTTGGTAAACTGCGGTTGTTTGTAAACGTTCCAAACAAACTTGATCTGATTTTGATTTGATCATTTGTATAGCTCCCAAAACTGTAAAACAAGGACTGTGTGAAATATAATCCCACCTGTCACCATACAATGTAGCCTCTAATGTTTGAATTAATGTCAGTATTTTAAGTTAACAATAAAAAAGGGCAGAGCGCTGCCCTTAGTGTGCATAAAAGGACAGTTCTCATACTGAATCAAACTGACTTGCAGGTGTGGGAGCACAAAGAACTGGCCACATTTGTTAAAGGGCCACAAATAGCCTGTATACTGTATTTTTTCTGGTAACCTAATTATTAACCTACTTGTATATTTTGGCATTATGACACTGGCTTTTAAACTAGGCCAATGGTGGAATGTGACTGGGCCTACAATTAAAGTAGTAATCATATTAGACATAACATTACATAGCTGTTATTAGCAGTGGGCAGTGTAGGCCTACAATTTTGAGGTAGACTTTAACTGCGTGACTAAGTTATTTCCATGTATTTCTTTCTTATCTCATAATCAATATTCATTGAAATACAGAGGACCATCTCTTTACAACAAGTGACTCCAATCTCTACAATCATCATCTACATTGTTGTTATTAAAAAATACATCTGACAAGGACCCTACTTTGCAAAGATTCTTAACACTCCATTGATTTAAAAAAAAATAATTCCTAAATTGAACATCTCTAACAATTTTATATTACTTCATAGTCTGGAACTCTTGTTTAATTATGCAGTCTTCGCTTTTATCTTTTTCTTTTTATCTATGATTGTTGTCATTTCATAGGGAAAGTATTTCAACAAGCCATTTTTGGCTTCTAAACTCCTAAGCAATGTTTTAATTTTTAATCTATTTTCCCTGTATGTTCTATACATGTGTGTGCAACTAAACTAAACTAAACTAAACTAAACTAAACTAAACTATTTATATTCCCGTTACGATGCATGTTAGAGTTAAACACTGTACTTTTGTAATCCACTCTCTGAAAGATAGTTGCAAATAAATTTGCAGACTGACTGAAGTCTATGTTATGGGAACAACCCTATGTTTCCTGTTGACAGCCGACACAACAACATAAAATTAACAGAATGTTTCTGTTTAATAAAGAATAATTTAATAATACTTCATGACTACGAATAACAGATTGTGATAATATGCACATGACAAAACCCACTTCAGGGTTTTCAGGAATTAATTTGTGGTCAAACTATAGGGTCAAACTCCATGTTTGTAAACTCTGGGACGGTTTTGGTTGTCCAACATTTTAACTTCCGGAAACGCCGGGTAAGTGCTTCACAGACTGTAAACACGAATCAGTAGAGGAGACAACAACTTCTGTTGTACCCAGGGAAATCAGTATCGTTCACTGTGTGAATTCGCAACTGGTATATAGTGAACTTAAAACGGTGAGCGCCCGTAAAGTGCCATTATAGACTTTATTCTACTTGGTTGTGTTTGCTTATTTAGCCATTTTAACTGCCCCGGCTACCACAGAGCTAACGGTAGTTGACGTTAGCATAGCGCCGGTTAGCCTGATGTTAACCCACGTGTCTGTATATTCTAAATGTTTATTTACCCACCTTATAATAACATATTTTAGAAGAAAAGAACACAATAGCCAGGTAGTTTTATTTCTGCTTGGTGCTGACTCGCCACTAAGAAAAAGTTGTGGTAAAATGTGCCGTTAGTCATCGCTGTTACTGCAGTGCGGTGAGCCGTCGTTAGGTGGTGCTGTTTAGCTGCTGTTTGAGGTTGTACTATGGACTACACCAAGGAAAATAAGGATGAGGATGCTAGGGAAGGCATCAAAGACGACCTTTATTTTGTTGAGGACTACCATAGTTCAGAAGGAGAAGGAGAGATTGAGTTCAGTCACCAGAAACATCACAGCAGCCGTAAACGAGCTGCACGGCTCAGCAGGGAAAGCTCCCCTCCTCTTGTCCTGGCGTTCAACATCACCTCTGGACGGACTCTGCAGCTCAGCAGCCAGAGTACTACCTCTAGTGTGGACTCACAGGATGAGCAGGAGGAAGAGGAGGAGGACAGTGAGCAGCCCATCGAGGATTGGATGATTGTGGAAGGAGAGGATCAGGTGGGAGACACAAGCATCCAGCTCAACTTGAGCTACTGGAACAGCTCTGAGGAAGACTCTGGAGATGAAGGTTAGACTGTACTTGCTCTCTATCATCCTGTTTCTAAAATTTTCCTACTACTTGTATGTCTCATTTTGTAATATGCGTGGGTGCCTTGTCTACTGCAAAACAAGCAGTGGTGGAGGAAGTATTCAGATCCTTCACTTGTGCAAAAGCACTAATACCACACTGTGAACATACTGTGCATTAAAAATGTACTCAAGTAAAGGTATGTTAAGTACAATCAGGAAAATGTATTGAAGTATTAAAAGTAAAGATAAAAGTATTCAATGCAGAGAAATTGAAATCAACTTGAAAAATCAAAACCGTTCAAATACTTAAAAAGAAAAGCAGCACGTCTGCATGTTACAGAAGCTGGAACCAAGAAACTGCATTAAAAGTAACTTAAACAAAATGGTCGCCAATTGATTTTCTAATCAATCGACTAACCGTTGCAGCTGCACTTGTACATATTCATACGGTTTATGTGCAAAAATCTTAACTTGTAAAGTAACTAGTAACTGAAGTTATTAGATTTTATTACAGTAGAGTAAAAAGAACAATATTTCCTTTTGAAGTGTGGTGGAGTAGAAATAGTAAGTGACATGAGATTAAAATACTCAAGTAAAAGTACCTCAAATTTAAAACTCCAGCTCCTCGTGCTAAATGATACTTTTGCCATATAATAATAAGAAAAATAAGGCTACGGCTGTGTGGCTCCACCTCTGACCCTGGTGTGCACAATGTGTGTGCTTGTATGAGAGTATCACTGTTGACCCATGGGACAAATTTGAGCTTCATTTGAATATTATTTACATGTGAATGTGATGCAAATCGCATGTGCTGTAATTAAACAAGGTGCTGCACAAACTAATTTGCTTGTCAGTATGTGATTGGACAAGCACTCACCTTATTTTGCACAAAGATAGGTGCAAGTAAGTGAATGACTTTGATTTACAGCTTGGTAATCAGTGGCATGGTGCTATACCAAGGGGAAAGCAGTAAAATAAATAAGTAAGGGCCAGAAATTGAAGGTATATCACTGTATTGACCTGGTTATGGATGAATCTTTTCTTCAGTTAAAGTTGTTTACCTTTAACTAAAGACAGGTTTTAATCATTTTGATTTGTGTTTTTAGTTGAAATGGTGAGAACACAGCTTTGAATTGTGCCTTCGTTTTCTGACGTTATTGCTGAAGTAAAACAAACATTATTTCCACTTAATCTCATAGCAACAAGGTGATGTACTTACAAACAGCACAGGCTGTGCTGCTGTTACTATTTACAGACATGTTAAAGGTCCAGTGTGTAGGATTTAGGGAGATATATTGGCAGAAAAGGAATATAATGCAATAAGTATGTTTTTTCTTTACTCTATTATCACCTGAAAATATGAATCATTGCATTTTCCTTACTTTAAAATGAGCCCTGTTTATATCTACATGGGGAGCAGATCCCTGTTTATGGAGATCATCATGTTCATAGCATGTTTATACAGTAGCCTAGAAGGGACAATCCAAACACTGGCTCAATATTCCATTTGCATTTTCGCAACAGCCACTGTAGTTAGAAGCCCATCTTCAACAAGCAGCATCGCAAAAAAGGTTAAACTGCTTTATTCAGTGTATTTACCGGTTTAAATAATTGGGTCTGGTGTTTTTTGGAGAGGATGAGACCTCTGCGGATAATTCGGCTCCTCGCTAAAACCTCCTCAACAATGAACACTGAAGGAATTATAACCTGGTGAAGTTTCAGCTGTGTGCTCTCTGCAGTACTCGCTGCTATATGCCACTAAATCCCCCTAAATCTTGTTCACTGAACCTTTAAGTTGAGTTAAAGTTTTTATTAAAATATCTGCAGATCTATGAGGATTGTCTTCTTTCTCATTCTCGAAAGGGGAAATCTCCTTTCCAGCATAATAAATACTCCATGAGCAGTAATATGTCACAGACAGCGCAGCAGAGTTACCAGCTCAGACAGTTATTCTCTGTGTCGATCCTCTTAACACGGGATATGGACAAGACAAAAAGATGAGTTCAAGTAGAAATACATTCCTGTAGTTACATTTAATGCAAAATGGTACATAGAGC